AAACGCGCACGCGCACAGCTGGAGGCGCGCGGCTGGATTCGGGGAAACGCGCACGCACACAGCTGGAGGCTCGCGACTGGATTCGGGGGAAACGCGCGCTCGCGGAACCCCGCAGCGCCCCTCGCGTCGGGTGACCCCCGGCTGCAAGCGGAGCGTCGGCGGCCCCGCAGCAGCCTCTGCCCTCCAGGTAAGGAAACCACAAAACGCTCCCGGGCTAGGAACGTTCGCAGTGAGGATGGGGCATGCTTTGTGCTCCGGTTCTCGGAACTTTGTGGGGTGCGGGTGGGGGGGCTGGTTTTATTTTTTAAAATACGTTCATGTTCATAAAAACTGTGCAAAGACAGTTTTAATTTCTGTGCTAGAGTCCAGAAATTAAGCTGTGGAAAGAATATTTTGACTTTGCCTTTCTTGGCATGTATTTCAGTACTATTTTAAATATAGAAATATTTTCAATCAGCACTTATTTATATTTCCTAGGAAGCTTTTATATTAGCCATAGACTCTGAATTTTACACTAGCATTAAATGGGTGCAAGCCAGGTTAAGGATTGATAAATATTTACATGGCAATTGGGTTTTTCTAAAAAAACTACTTTATTTCAATATGACGTAACTTTAGGGGGGAGAGGATGTATAGAAATAGCCAAATTTCAACAACTGATTTCCATAACTCAAGGTCAGCTGCAACTTAAGCCTGAATTTTTGGTCATTACAGATGCACTATCTTAAAAGTCTCGTCAGATTTTTAATTCCTTCATATGTTACAAGATTAAATGGGTGTATAAGATTATAAAATAGATGATATGGTAATGAACATTTTAACCCTAATCAATGGATTTCTACTCTGAACATTTTAATATTTTATATCATCTCCTACTGACTGATTGCATTAGGTAAACAATGCAGACTGTGGGGGGGAATAAAACCAGCTTTTCAGACATGGGGTAGAGGGCTGTGAGAAATAAGAGCAGAGAGAATTAAGGGGCAAACTCATCTGCAGCCAGGGCTCCAGCTCCTTTCGGGCAGCAGGCAGTGAGGAATCAGAAGGATGCCATCTGCCATTCCCCAATCATCAACCCTGGCATTTATCCGCAACCCTATTTTAGGTGCCATGGTTTATTACATGCTTCACATCAAATGCCTCGTTAGCCCTTAGTGAAAAGAGGAGCTGTGGTGGTGGATAGAACTACAGACACTTAAGAATCTGGAAGTTGAAAACAAGTGACAGTGGCTAATGCATTCAGAGAGTTTGCTCTATGGCATGTATGTTCGGTTTCAAATGTGTAAACATGCGAGATCATGGGGATGCCTGAGCTTATTCTGTTTCTGGATACTTAAGAGAAAGATGAAAACAAAAGTGTAGGCAGTATTAGCACCAACCTGTAGGGAGGCATTATCGACCTCATTTCCTAAATGTGATTCTTAACACAGAACAGCAGATTTTAATTTCTAGAAAGAATTCAAAGCCTGTGGACAATGGCATTAAAAGCATTTTTAAAAATGTCCTGCTGATTAACAAAAACATCACAGAAAATTTTTTGATTTCCCTTAATAGTGTCAAGAAAGTCTACTCCTGTCAATCACTGAAGCCGTAGGAAAAAAATTAAAACTGTCATGTTGAGGTAAGTGTCAGTATTTTTTGCGCTGTTTAAGCTGTGATAAAATACACATATTTTCCATCTTAACAATTTTAAGTGTCCTGTTCAGTAGTGTTAAATATACTTACATTATTGAACAACCCATCTCTAGAACTTTTTCATCTTGCAAAACAAATTATGCACCCATTAACTCCTATTTCCCTCTCCCCCTAGTCCCTCGCAACCACCATTCTACTTTGTGTTTCTATGAAATCGACCACTCCAGGTTCCTCATACAAATGGAATCATAGAGTGAAAGGTTAAGGTGGGTGGCGCACAGGCAGCTAAATAGCCACCTCAGATGGTGAATAAAGAAAATAGAATTTATTTAAGGAAAGGGGGTTGGGGGTGGGATATCTAAAGGGAAGGGCTACACAGCACTGAGCCAAAGCGCATTGGGTCCGTGATGGCAGCAAAAGTATACTTGGGACAGTGAGACAAGGAAGAACATAGAAGAGGCAACAGGAGAACCTAGGCTGGGCTGTGTTGGCTCACTGAGAAGTCAGAGAGAGAAGGGGGCCTGGGAGAGAGGTTCAGGGGTAAGCCTGGGACGGGAGGAGCTGCCGCTCCCCATTGCTCCCCTGGTTGCAAGTCTTATGCGGTCCCCTCAGAGGGCTGCAGATGGCGCTGGTGGCTCCCCTGGGGAGGGAAGTGGAAGTGGAGACACAGGTACTGGGTGTCACTGTTCCCATGTTAAACGCTGCCCCTGGTGTTCACTCCAACCTGGTTTACCGATAAAGGAGTGGCTCACTCCCCCTGGCTGCCAGTAGGAGGCCCTGATCTTGAATGGAACTAGTGCAGAAGTTCTCCCCTGTAGCTCTGGGTGAGAAGTGACCTGTTGCAGCAGCATCTGTGTATGCACATGTGGTACTGTGGAAAATGAAACAGGGATGCTCAAATATAGTTCACTGCAGAACACCTCTGAAAAGATGTGGGCGGAGTCAGAGTTGTCAAACATGTTTTATCAGGTAGATTGGCCACAGCACTGAAAGTGGAAAGGTGGCTTTTGTGGCCTGTGCATAAGACCGCATTCTGTCACCTGCCCTCTAGTCAGCAGGTGGGGATAACCCAGGTCTGTCATGGCTACTCTCTGGTCTTAACTGAGCCTTAATTTATTCTGTTAAAGTTTCAGGCATATCTTACCCATTGTGAAGTTTAAGACAATTTAAACAGATTCCCTTATTCATGTTGACCACGTGAGGATACTGCAGTTCAGGTACATCAAAACAAAGTTGTACACCTTAAATATATGACTTTTATATGCCAGTGATATATTAGTAGAGCCGTTTGATTATCGAGTATACTACTAAGGGGAATATCCCATCTGAAAACAACCTCAGTCCCAAATTTTGTGTAGTAAAACAAGGGTAAATTTTTAAATGCACCTTTTAACTCTTCTGTTTGGTGTATAGAAGATCTTTTGTTTGCAGCTGCCAAGCAAGCAGCCCTGGAGGGAGGTTCAGTCACTGGCCTTGTTGTTTATCTTAGGCCAAATTGCCTGGTCAGGGAGGCCGGGACGCCAAGTCTAATCAACCAAGATAAGATGAACTGCTGTACTCGTTAGCAAAGGTAAATGAGCCCAGCCGGGCATGGCTCAGCAGTTGGTTGAGCATCGACCTAGGATCCAGGAGATCGGGGTTCGATTCCCGGTCAGGGCACATGCCCGGGTTGCGGGCTGCAGCCCATCAATGACGCTCTCATCATTGATGTATCTATCTCTCCCTCTCCCTTTCTCTCTCTGAAATCTCTGAAATTTTTTTAAAAACACACACAAAGGGAAACGAGTTCGGAGACTAGTGAGGAGGCTGACATTCTGTTCCCATTCCTCCTCCAGGTATTGCCACATCTGCAAGCTTCCTGGCCGAGTGCTGGGCACCCGCATGCTCCGCTGCTCCCTGGTCGCTGTCCTCACATTGCTCCTGGTGGCTGGGGCTCTGACCACTTTCCTTCCCACCAACAAGGAGGACAGGGTGCTCCCGTGGCGGCGGGAAGTGAAGCCCCAGGGCCAGGCTGCCCTGGCTGCGTTCACTCTCATCATGCAGACATACAACAGGTCGGATCTGCTATTGCGGCTGCTGAATCACTACCAGGCGGTGCCACAGCTGCACAAAGTCATCGTGGTGTGGAACAACGTTGGGGAGAAGCCACCCGAGGACTTGTGGAACTCTCTGGGGCCACACCCTGTCCCCGTGGTCTTCAAACCCCAGACTACCAACAGGATGAGAAATCGGCTCCAGGCCTTCCCTGAGCTGGAGACCCACGGTGAGCGGCAGCTGGGTTCTTAGTCTGGAGGGGCTGCAGCTAACAGCTGGGGGCATTGTGGATGGTTGGCTTCCTCCCTGTCTTAATTGTCTAGAGAAGATAAGGGAAACTTAATCATAAGAAAGCACTTTGAAAAACTTCAAGGACAGTTTCCAGGGTGTCGAGAAGCAGCTTCCTGGGGAGGAAAGCACACACATATTACAGCAGTGACAGAGAGGCTGCTATTGTGAAGGGAGGTACACTATAACTGCTTATCATTGAGTTACAGAGGGAGTGAGACACTGTGTAACTTTGTTCATTGTATTTCCAGCCACTGCATTTTTCAAAGCCATCTCATGAGGTTATCATTTGCTTTAAAGAACCTCGGTGGTGTTTGTTTATTTATAGGTTCATTAGTTTCTACAATAATAGATGATGACTACGTGATAATTTCCCCCTTGGGCAGTTAGAAAATCAATTACAATTCAAATAAAAACTCTAATACATTTCTTATTTACTAATTTTGTTAGACAATACCTTGTGTAAATGATCTGTATAGACACCGGTGTATCTTACTCATTGTGTTTTCATTTTCAAATGGTTCAGTTTTAATTTTTTTCCTCTCATTTTAGCAGTGTTGATGGTCGATGACGACATGCTCATTAGTGCCCAAGACCTTGTTTTTGCCTTCTCCGTTTGGCAGGTAAGGTTGCTGTATCCTCTGTGAAATCTTCAGCACAAAGTCCTATCTGGTGTATAACCAGAGTGACATGGTTTAATGGGGGTCACCCAGCACAGTGTGGCTTAGAACCCCTTTTCCATGCACATTTTGAATTGGAATTTAACCCAGTGTGTGTGTGTGTGGGGGGGGGGTTCTGGTTTAGTATCTGTTAAGTAAGTGAGTGAAATTCAAATTTATGAGACTAAACTAAACCTTTTAACCCTGTAAGTTCTTACCTCTTTCACATGCTTTACTGGCTTGCTTTCATTTGCTGATTTTTTTTTTTTTTTTTTT